ATATTCTGTCTTTGAATTTCAGGGAATTCATTATCTGCCATACTAGATGGAGAAGGACGACTAACATTTCTAAATAGGGGAGAAGATTACGTAATGACAATGCCATATGCTCATTGTAAAGGTAGTGGGGTTTTTTTTCATTCTCTAGATGTCAAAGTTATGAGAACAGAAGTTTGTTATTCTAAATAGCGCATTATTGTAAATAACATACTGTGTTGGATTCAAGCCTGTCATCCGAGAAAAGTGTTCTGAATGTTGGCAACACTGGTGGATCTAGGCTTCTGCATATTTTATAAGGAGAAAAATACATCTGTTATTTAAGCCATGTTTTATTTTTTGGCACAGAAAAAGATTTTCTTTTTCAGAAATCGTAAGAAATAGTAAGAGCACATATATATAGCTGTCACTACATAATACTAATTTACTGTTTGAGATGCCTTTTTTTTAGAAAAATTTTGAGCTTTTCCAATATTTTCCCCTTGTAAACATAAAAGGCAGTGTAGTATCTGCAATGCACTGTGCGGTTCAGTTGTAAATCGTGAACGTTTGTCTTTATGGGAAAATAATCAGTGGTTTGTAAAGCTTTCTGGAAGGTCAGCAGTAGTGCAAAATACATTGCAGAATGGCTTTTTTTTAAGCTGTAGCTTATTCAGGATTGTATACTCATATATTCCAAAATTCTCATTCAGAATAGCTGGAATTCTCTTTCAGAAGGCCAACTATAAAGTCAACAAATATAATACTTTCTTCATTTGAGGTGTATGAAGATCAGTTAGCAGAATTAGATAATTTGACATAAGCTTAGTAGCCTTTTCTCTTTCCATTGTTTTTTAATGTTTTTAATATTGTGTTCAATTTTTTTATGGCTTTGATGACTAAAATAATACTAAACAATTAAACTAGATAACATATATTCATACATTCAATTCAAACAGGAAGGAGGATTAGTGTGAGTAATAAAGCTGCTAGAGAGGGACAAAGGTAGAAGAATATGCAGGGAAGGAGAAGGTGCATGGTGAAACAAATGTTGTTGCACATGAATCCACTGTATGTAAAATATATTCAGTGCTTCAAGCACTGGATTACAAGGGAAAGGCAGTAATTGTGGGAAGGAGAATGTACTCAGCATTGTCAACCTTGTACTTCCAAAAGTCTTCAGGGAGGTGATCAGTGTTATATTGGTTGTCCATGGTTGCCTTCAATTGTGGTCTGACTGTACATATTGCTTCTGTTTGGGGGAAGTTTTTCTTTGAGGGTTTTTTTGGGGGGTTGGTTTTTTTTTTTTTTTGGTGTTGTGTTTGTTTGTTTGTTTGTTTGTTTTGGTAGGTTATTTTCTTGCTCTAATTTCAGAAGCTTCCCTTCTCCAGTCATTTCCAATAAGACTAAACATCACCATTGCTAGGGCCAGCAACGTACACTGCCAAAGATATGTCTTCATAAACTGTTTTTCCTACTTATCTGTAATTCACTTAGATCTCTTTGTTTCTGTTTGGGTTATCTTATTTGGCAGAAAGATCATGATTATCATTAGGAAAGGTCATCTGAAAATACAACTTTTCCTCTGGCACAAGCATGTTTACTCTAGGAATTGTACCCACGTAGCTTATGTTTTTTGCTTTGTTCAGTTAAAAACATTCATTTTAGCTTTTTTTTTTCTCTTGCAGGAATTCTCTATGGCACAATGACCTTAGAGCTTGGAGGAACAGTCAACATCACCTGTGAGAAAACTGGCTACAGTGCAACAATTGAATTCAAACTCAAGGTTAGTAAATGCTGCTAGTAGGCACAAAAAGTAGAATGAACATAATGATACTTAAAAAAAAAAAAATCATTCAGTGACTCCTTAGATATGGTCTGATTTAGTATGGAATTATATTTTGGAAAATAGAGAAATTTCTGTTTTAACTGCTACGTTTCCATATGCTGAATCTATCAAACTGTGCTGGTTTTATGGTGTTTTTTTTTTTTTTTTTTTTTTTTTTTTTTTTTTTTTTT